CATTTTATGATTCTGTGGTGGCATCTGCTGTTTTTTACGCTGTTGCGGGTTGGGCAGGAGGTAGCACGGTCAGGGACAGAAAGAGACTAAACAAGCTGGTTAAGAGAGCTGGTTCTCTCCTGGACTGCCCCCTGGATTCCATCGAGGAGGTGGTGGACAGAAGGATGCTGGTAAAACTAACATCCATCATGCATAACCCCACCCATCCCCTGCACCCCACAGTGGTGGCTCTGAACAGTTCTTTTAGCATGAGACTGTTACATCCCCAGTGTAAGAAGGAGCGTTACCGTAGGTCGTAATCAGACTGTACAATACATCACTGCAGGGATAAGCTAGGTGAAATTATGAGGGACTATGTAATAGTCAACTGAGGTGCAATATTCAAATCCTGGGGTAAAATGCATTGTAAATAGGCTCATGTGTAATATCTTGTTCCTGATCTCTCTCAAATACTGTACATTGCCCTGCTTTAGGTATGTTTGAGTAGTTCCTCAGACATCCTTATGGCTGAAACACAGGTTTCTCTCCCCCATTGTGGGATTAATTGTGTGAGTAATATTCAATTGTTCTTGATTTCCTGGTTGTTTAGTCTCTACTGCTGTTCCTGATTCTCTCCAGTGCTACTCTGCCCTGTTTTGAGGTGCCTTTGATTTGCTTATTTGTGCTGTGTAAAATGTAACTTTCTGATGACGCTACTTGTGTGTATCTGTTCTGATGCTTTGTTGCCTTTATGTAACTGTTTACTTTAAGACTAAGTGTTCTTTGTTGCACTGTGGAGTGGCAGCAAGTTACAGCAACTGTGTCCTCGTTGTGTTCTTTTCCGTGCTTTTATGAAGTTCTGTTCTTATGTGTTCTTATGGTGTTATGTTGGTTGTTCTCTATTGCTGCTGTAACACAGAAATTTCCCCACTGTAGGATCAATAAAGTACCTGCTCTACTCTACTCTAATTTATAAATGTACAGAGCATTTGTGTTTTTAAGCGTTTATACAATTATTATACAATATATAATATAGCCTATGGAATTGTATGACTTTTATCCTAGTACAATCAATTATATACAGAATATTCAGACTTTTAAGGCTCTTAAAACTACATAAGTATTTAGCAAGTTAGTACATAAGAGGTTTAACGGTTGTTACCAAATTTTAAGCCCCAGTCTTTTAACTGGTGTCTTTTATGACTTAGACTGAAACAATTTTTTCGTTAAAATACTGAACTGAATAATTACGGTTGGTACGGAATTGTTACTGACAGTGAGACTGTCCAATCACTGAAGTGTCCAATGTGTGCGTCATCCTACTAGCGTAGTTCTTTTAATGGTCCAATCATCTTTCTTGCTTGGTTCGCGATGCGGAAGCAAGATTCCAACTTCCTCATTGAGTCGGCTTGGTCGGTGTAATTGTGACGTGTAGCACCGAAAAGTCTCTCAGATTGCACAGTTTGCTAATATGAAGTTTGCCAGTTTGGTTGTCGACGATATTAATTGAATAACGGAGGGCAAATTAACTTGGGAACTGTTTTTATTTAGTGTTTTCAAAGCAATAATGCCTGTCATGGTCGGCGAAATAGATGGACGGACGGATAGGAATTTGATGTGTATCTTGGTCCCGCTCGCTGCCTTGTTGTTGTTTTCGGTCGCAGTTGATGCTGTTCCAGAGGAACACAAGTCTGTTCAAGCGCAGTCTACACAAGAGGTAGAAGCTTTAACTTCATTATCACCCATCAAACCTTTTGTTGTCGTCGGTAGGAAACAGTTTTAGACGCCGGTGAGGCTACTGCTTCCTAGCTAGCCAGCTAGCTAGCTAGCATGCCGACAGTGTCAAATCACATTGTGTTTTGGGTGTTCGGCTCAATTGGATAAAGTTAGTCTATAATTTGTAAGGGTAGCAAATATTTGAATGACAGACGTGTGGATGTTTGTCCGAGGAGGCCACGCCGATACAATGTCACCTGTTTTGTTTGCATTTCCATTAACGTTGGTGTTCTTTCCAGTACTGGGCTAGTAGCCAGAACAGCCTGACGTGCAGGTTTGACGGTTATCATAAAGTGTATGCAAATGTCATCTTAATACTATGTCTCTGTTCTTTGCAGAAAGTCACAAGTGCCCATCCAGTAGGAGTTTCTGAAGATGGTTCCACAAAAGGAAACCTGGGTTTCATCCATGCTTTTGCGGCCTCTATATCTGTCATCGTCGTCTCTGAGTTGGGAGATAAAACATTTTTTATCGCAGCCATCATGGCCATGCGTTACAATCGTCTCACCGTGCTGATAGGTGCTATGCTGGCCCTAGGGATCATGACTTGCCTTTCTGGTCAGTAGTAGAAATAAATACTGTGGTTTTGCACAGAATCACAGCTCAAATAAAGGATTATCTTATTTCTTCTCTGAGTACTAATGAGGTAATCACTTTCCCCACTCCACAGTGCTGTTTGGCTATGCAACTACCATCATCCCAAGAATCTACACATACTATGTATCTACGGCTCTGTTTGCCATCTTTGGTATACGCATGCTGAGAGAGGGGCTCAGAATGAGTCCAGATGAAGGCCAAGAGGAGCTGGAGGAAGTGCAGGCAGAAATCAAGAAGAAGGATGAAGAGGTGTCTTTTTTTTGTTTTTAAGAAATACATGGTTATTTCCAGAACATCAGGTATTACAATTCCAGGGTGTTGACATAAGTAAACATACATGTTTGTACTTTGTCTGACTAGTAGCACTTACTCACAGATGTCTAACATTATCACGAGGGAACCTCTATCCCAGTGTGATAATTGTACATGCCAGGAGGAAACACTGGAAAGATTAATTTAGCACTTCAATTTGAAGATTAAAAAATGAACTTTAATGAATCCAAAGTTAATGTATAACGCTTTTTTTTTTTTTTACTGCTCCTACCCAAGGCATTTTTAAAAGGACTAGAAGTCATTTTATCAGCATGTTGTACGGTATCTTTGAACTCTGATGCCTCTTTGACACTGCCCATTCAGTGTGGCAGTTTTCTGCCTCACCATTCTGTATAAAAGGTACAGTACAACGAGAAGTAATATTTTTGCTTTGCCCGACCTCTTGTATAAAGGGGACAAAGCAGGAAGAGGGGTTTGAGGTCTGCATGAGAGAGGGAGAGCTAAAGAGTGATCGAGGAGAGGGAGCCGTGTCAGCGAGAGCGAAGCAGTTGGACGTCATGATAAGCATTATAACAGGAGTGGCAGTTTGCCAGCTTTTTGAGTTTAGTTTGTAAACGGGGCATAAATGAAAAAAGCAGCCTTGAAGAAGGGTCAAAACACCAGAGGTTTGCTGCGATTTCTGTGTAAGTAGGGCTGTTGTTTCAAACACAGCTGTTCTGGAGGAAAGTCAGGCTTCTCAAGGGAACTGCTTTGCATCTCATGACCTGACCAATTGATCTGCTCTCATAAATGCTGCTTGTTAATGATGACTAATCAAAACCTTTCAAATTTGAAGCAATCATTAAACCCTGATATTGTTACATGTGGCCAGTGGCAGGTACTGCATCTGAGAGTGAAACGTACTATAGTTATGAAAACGTTCCCATATTTTAACAACAAATAGAGCATTATGATGAGTGTTTCAGTAAAATCAGTCTTCTGTTGTCTGTGCAGCTCCAGAGGTCTAAGCTGGCTAATGGGACTCCAGATGTGGAGGCTGGATCAGGGACAACACAGCCTCAGGGAAAGTGGTTCAGCATCATCTCACCCATCTTCATCCAAGCTTTCACCCTCACCTTTCTTGCCGAGTGGGGGGACCGCTCGCAGCTGACAACCATTATTCTAGCTGCCCGGGAGGTGGGTCACATTTATTCTATGGCACACAACTGTATGTTTTAGTACTTTTTTTAATTGTAAATCTTCAAGTATAATCATTTTGAAGTCTCACCGTGTGTGGCCTCTAGGCAAAACAAATTCTTTGTCTTTTGATGCCACAGCAAACATTCCTCACTGCTGTGATAATACACCGCTCATTAAGGTCTGAGGCAAAGCAACCTATCATTTTCTTTAACTTCAGTATTATACACTGTTTTTAAACTTCCAGGATCCATTTGGAGTTGCAGTGGGTGGTACACTTGGGCACTGTTTTTGTACAGGACTGGCTGTGATAGGAGGGCGAATGATTGCACAGAAAATATCTGTCAGAACAGGTAAGATGTTTTGTTTTAATATACTCATTTTATCTACTTTTCATCAGTAAAGACTTGACATTTACAGTACTCTTGTTATATCTGTCTCCTAATGCCTGAGCTTCTACTGCATGCATTGGTCTCACTAGTCTCAATTGTCTCGGCGTCCTGCTCAGGTGGCCCGAATACACCTGAAAGCTGGCTTTAAATTTCAAGTAAACCTTTAGTGTGTATTCCATATTGGTTGTACCGGGTGACACATCAGAGGCACTTTCTCATGAAATGTCACTCATCTGGTTTCACTTGCAATGATTATCCATGAACATCACCTTGTAAGATCAGTGTTATTGCAGCAAGGATTCACTTTCAGGCTCCTGTCAGAGGATCCTCGACAGCCTCAAGGCAAACTATAGGATGTAACGGTGTTAGCAGCTTGTTTTTGCATTATTAAGATTCCTGGTGAATTTACTTTTACTAATGCCAGGTCGTCTGGAAGATGCAATAAATGCAAGGTGAATCTTGACTTGGAGAAAAAGGAGCAAATTTGAAAGAAAGTGTGCTAGAAAACATTGTTACCCATACATTGATTTATTTGTGGCAGGTCACCACAATATCAACATTGACCGCCACATACTGATTTAAAATAGGTTAAAAAAACCCCTAAACTCAAACACATGTTTTTTTATGTTTATATGCCCTAAAATGTCAGACTTTTACTGTACTGACTAGTGTATGTGCACAGGTTGTCACTAACAGGGTGTTTTCACATTATTCTGCTGAAGGAGGCAGTGTCACTCCACTTCCTAGAAATCCTGATTTCAAACGTCCACAGGCAAACAAAACTTGTTACGACAGAAATCTGAAAGCCAATCATAGCTGACTATGCAAATGCAGAGTTTGACTGCACTTGCTGAAACCAGATACCTGAAACCTCTGTCCTGGGATCAGCCAGAGCTAACTTCTGAGTGATAGGAGCGTGTTTGCTAAAATTTATTTTTGGCAGTAAATATGCCAGAGTGTGCAGTTTTTAGATGTAAACCGGACCCTGGAGCTTCTTTACGTTATTTATGTAGTTATTATTTGGCTAACGCTGAGAAAGTGTGAGACGCGTACCATTATTAACAGCTCGTAAGCTATGGTTTTGGCTTCTGGTAGCAGCCTGAATGCTGCAGTTAGCCAGCTACTAATAACACAAGTTCCTGGTCTTTTGTTAACGTTACTAGATTAACTTTTGGATCAACTTTAAACTGATACTGACATACTATCAAATGTTATGAGATGTGCAATTAGTTTACTGGTGTTTAACAACTAGCATTAACGTAATGCTTGGATTGGCTCACTGCTAAAGCTAACAATTAACCTTGTGCTAATAGTTAACTTAGCCTTTAGCAAAATAAAGAGATACTAACATACTATTAAACATTACGAGACAGTATGAGACACCGCTGCTGGAGTATTAACAGCAAAGCATAGATATATTACAGGGAAGACTGTTGAACCTAGTGTTGACAGTCTGCTTCTGTGTTACCTACTAATGTTAGATTAACTCAACATTTTGGATCAGCTGGATATTGATTGATTATGAGATGGTATGAAACATGTAGCGATGTAATATTGACATTTATGTTTGGCTTGCTGCTAACACAGCATGGCAAGGCTCAGGAATAGCACTGTGTAAATACTTTTGTTTGGGAAACAGGTTTGGAAACTCAGATGTCCGAGTTTTCCACGGGTCCTTAAACGCACCGTGCATTTGTGGATCTGGATTTTTGAGAGTGTGTGCACAGAAGGTGATTCGTGTGTGTTAGACGATCCACGCATGCGTAGGTAACAATGTGTACGTACGTTTTCTAAAGAACTGCACACAAAAAATCGATTTTAAGCATTTGTAAAAATGTGTTTTATGTGCAGTTTGTACAGCACGCATTTGTGATCCTCATGACACACACACACACACACAAATCGCTTGTTACAGACAAAACGTTAAACACGCATTTGTAACATACATAGTATTTTATCTCCATAAAGGAGCCTCTGTGAACAGCTACTTCTCTCTGTTTTTTAATATTTTTTTTATTAACACACCGGTGTCAATCACAGATCCAACTCTTGTAATATGTTATAAGCAAGCTAGTAAGGCTAGCTAAGCTAACATTAGAATACAGCTGTTGCTGAGGTCAGCACGCTGTATATAGCATGGATATACAGTACATATGCACTGCTCTGCAAGTGGATAGAGTTAATGCTAGTTCTTAAACTCTGATGCTGAATGTTTGCCTCCTCGGTCCAGGGGATTATCAAAAAATACACGTGGGAAAGCTGATCAGTATGGCCAGTGTGATTAGTGATCCAGTTGATTTGGTTCATATATTTAGACAGGGTCAGGAAGAGAGAGAACTGTAGGAAGAGATTAGCGGCCAACATGCTGCTGCTGTGGGAGAGCTAGTGAGAGCTAGTGCAGAAGGGAAAGGTCAGATGAACAGCACAGAACGACAGTATTCCCATATAATGTAATTCTATAGGAAGCACTGCATTAATGAATGACTAAAGACCCTCCAGTTGATCTTTGATAATAAAGTACCTTTACTTTTTGGTTATTTGAGGCACCATATAATTGTATTTGTTTTCTTGTTTTGTTTCCACAGTTACAATCATTGGAGGGATTGTTTTTCTGGCATTTGCCCTCTCCGCCCTGTTCATCAAGCCTGAATCTGGATTTTAATTGGACGAAAAACTTTGTTTTATTTTGTATATACATGTAAAATTGGGTGAAGTTGCTGTAGAGACTGCAGCTATGACCCTGTGTGTGGCTGTCACCAGGTGTGACAAGCTCAACAATGAACATGTCCTTCTTTTCCCAGTATGCCTCTGCTCCACTACATTCTGTAAATCAATGTTTTCTTATAGAGGTTGAGGTTAAATATTAAATGAGATTTCCCAGGAGTCTTACCTGTCATACACACCAGTGCCTCATGGGAGGTGTCATTGTTTAAGGTTATCAAAATAATCACTTTATTTTTATGAAGTTCAGATATTAAATGCAGATTTAGTTTAGAACTGAAAATCCAGGAAGGTTTATGCAAAGTCAGTAATGAGAGGAGAACACTGACTTACAGAATCTTGTGGAACAGAGTTGCAGTAGAAGAGGAGGCCGGACCGTGGCCATCTAAGAGCTGTGACCTCATCTCAAGGCATGAAAGAGGAAGAAGATTAAACCCAACACTTGGTCGTGGGACTCAGACAATGCAGTATTTTCCTGATATTTAGCCACCTCAGATTGAGTCCATTTAAAATCCTTACTTTGTTTTAAAGTGTTGAGTGGTTGGTGTTTTTTTTGTCCCCCCCCTTGGGGCTTTGTTTAACATGTGCCCAGCTGCTGTCAGGTGACTGTAGACGGAGCTGCTGGCTGCCTTGTTGAAAGCACTTGAGGCTGCTCAGTTCTTGACTCCACTTTGCTCTCTGGGTGATACCTGTTACTACAGCGTATTAAATCTCACACAGGGTGGGCCTACTTTGCTTAAGATGCTGCCCACTGTGAGGAGAATGTAACCAGCAACACATCGGTAAAAATGATTTTTGATATCTGATTTAATATAACATTGTATTTGAAGCAGAGACATCATTGAAATACTTCCCTTAGTTGTTGCCCTTGGTGAGTGTCGATATGCAGGAGCAGAGTTCTGAAACATTATAATACCTTTGCATCTAGGCGTCACCATACCTGTGTAGGTACAGTATCTACAGAGTTGCATCACAACTTACCTGTAGTTTATGTGCATCTCTTCAAAATGCTAGTCACACACTGGCGATATTGACTGGGGGCCTTTTATACAGGGTGGGCCACGGAAAAGCAGCCCGAGCAAGTGGATTGTTTTACAGGCAGGCTACTTTTCCACCTCCCTTTTCACCTGGTATTTCCTCGTACCAGTGTGAGTTGTCGATAGTGAGACAAACATTGATCAGGGTGAAGAAAGGACAGTTTGCAACTCTTCCTATGTGTGATTAAAGCCATTTCCACTATGAGTATCGCTGCCCTGAATTACAAAGTGAATGTGAGAGAATGTAAACATGAGTACACCAGGTAAGAAAATCATGTTTTATTCTACACAAAGCTGACGGTACATGTTAGTCCTTTTGCCATAAGCAGCTGTGTTCTAGTTACAGTGTCATCTCATCATGGAGAGGTAACTCAAGCCTACAGTTCACTTGTTATGTAAAATAGTATCTATTTATTTGTCTTCATTTTCTTTCTGTTTAGCATACCTACTGTAGACACAAGGTGGGAGAAAGGGCACTCTAAACAAGAGTGGAAATATTTTTTTAACTGGCAGGATTCAGCTGTGTTGTCAGTATTCGATAGGCTGTGCCCAGCTGTGAAAAAAAAATTCAGTTTGTGATACACATTAATTGAATTGACTATTACTATCAAATGCTCAATAAAAAAAGTTTCATGTGTTAATCTGATTTGTAAACTAATCACTTGGACTATTCTACAGATGAAAGACAAAAGCGGACACATCTCATACAAGCAGTGCAGCAGCTTGTTCCACCAGAGATGTTTCATAGAAGTTTATTTTCCGTCTGAAAGGAAGCAAACAATTGATACATTTGCCTTAAAAGATTATGGTTACACTTATAAATGTTTGGCTCAAGAAGTAAAGGCAAGGCAGCACACCTTTTGTTGGTATGAAGCTGTGGAGTGGATCACAGTGCAATGGGGATTATTTATTGGGAAAGTGCTCCACACACAAGTTTGGGTTCACATAATTTCTAAGAAAGCAGTGATTCAGTTATGTCATTGGGATCATTATAATTCTGGTCAAATACCTTGAAAATCCTGGAACCTAAAGTGGTGTTCAACTTTAAACCGAACAGCAGGTGGCAGCAGTGGAGTTCACTGTGATTCCTTGCAGGAGAACCTGCACTGTAAAATGAACATCTGGCACCTCTATAAAAAGACTTAGTAACACTTAAAGTCCCCCTGTTTAGTACTTATAAGTAGTGTGCAACCAATTAAATCTTTTACAACACAATATAGTTAAACATAGCTTTGAGGAATTTTCATTTTATGTACTGAGCAATTTGACATCGAACACACTAATTCTGTCATTCACGTGCCTGCACTTGTTGAGTTGTAGTCAGAGGTGGGACAAATGCTCAGTTCTTTTACTTAAGTTAAAGTACCAATACAAAAGTGTTAAAATGATCTGTTAAAGGTAAATGTCCTCCATTCACTCCATTACTTAAGGAAAAATACAAAAGTATTAGAATCAAAACATACACTAAAAGTACTCAATGCAAAATGGAACATTTAACATGAATGTATATCATGTTGGATTGTAATTACTGATGCATTATTGTACTCATCACAGTGTTGCAGCTGCTAATGTAAATATCTTATATACTTATCTGAATTACTGCTGGGTAGCTTGGGAATTTTCCACTTGAGATCAATAAAGTTTTATGATTGTACTCTAATTTTTGTATTAATCTGGCTCTGAAAACTAACTAGTAATTAACTTATCTGAATTACGCTACTAAAATGTAGTAAAAGTATGCAAGTACAGATACCTCAAAATTGTATGCAAGTACAGTACTTGATTAAATATACTTAGTTACTTTCCACCACTGGCTGTAGTTGGTTACAAATACTTTAATAAATACTTGCTTACCCCTACATACTGCATGTGTGTTGTAGTATAATCTATGTATCACATTTTTATATGCTCATAAATGCTAAACAGGGGACTAGGTGTTACTAGGTGTTGAAGATGTTACCTTGTGCACTAGGAAATGATGGGTCCTTTTGACTAATTTCAAACATTTAATAGGCCAACAGACGGACAGTAAGCATCAGATTAATCAATAAAATCAATCACTCATTGCAGCCCTATTACAGGTTGGGAAAAAAATCTTTAGGCGTTGTAATAATGCAGTTATAAATGTTCTAATCACTTCTATTTACACTGGTTTTTCAGTGTTTTTCATAAATAATCACATCTGTGGTTATAAATGTTAACTAGATGTGCAAGCGGGTATGCCATGGTCCAAGCACCAGACCAACCTGGCTACCAGGGGTGTATCTACTCAGGGCAGTCACATAAGGCCAACATTATACAGGGCTTTAAACACTAGGTGTGTTATACATTTGAATACTGCTTGAATGGCAGAGCGCTAAACTGTTCTCCAAATCATTTTGCTAGCATACAATTAAATGAAGGGGTTTGATCCTTCAAATCTGTCGCTAAATAAGTTGTTAATGAATAGGAATATGTCCTGTATGTGATGGATTTTAACTTATTCAGAACGCATTAGTAGATGATAAAGCCATTAGTTACAACTTATGAACCTTTATTACAAAGTTGTACCAAACAGTTGAAGAAGTCTCTAGCCATATTATCTGGATTGAAATGTTAAAGCATCATGCCACACCTGAGTCAGTGACATCACAGCAGGTGTTTACCATCAGCCACTGCAGTACACCTGCTGTGACCTCACTGATCGAGCCATGACCAAAATCTGTAGGATTTAATGTGAATTAACCCTGTAATAAGATGTTTTTGCCATCAGGTGTACTGTGGTAGCCAATTTAATGAGCCAAACATCATCACCACACAATTATGAACTGAAAGCAGAGTTAACAGTGATGGACATTCAGAGATTCTGGAGTGTACATCAAAACTACACAACAAGTAACAAGTAATAATGCACAGTGTCCTTTCATTTGCGGCACGCCTTCTGGAGTTTCCCTCTTTGGATAACAACACGTTTTCCCTCATGTTTTTGTGACTTGGAAATGATCGACTCATGACAATTTAAAAGCCAAAGTTGTCATTTAAAACTTTGTTTTTGTCTTAAATTTTAAGTTGTTGCATAACCATAAACTCACAAGTAGCGCAATTAGTTTCGATCCTTCTTTTCTTTATGTCAATATTTAGTCATATGTATGCACATTTAAAGCAATGGTGTTAAAGTGTTTGATGACATAAATATATTGTAGCTCTTTGAGGTTTATTCTGGCAATAGAAAAATAATTCTCTCATTTACTCGTTTGTCCTATCATACACTGTGCAAAGTCTCTCAGAGTCATGCATCTCCTCATTCAAGATACTCACGGTGATATTTAATTACATTTCTGTAGGTCCTGTATACAGTAGCAACACTTACACACCACAATGCTGTTTGCATCCACTCTACAGGTTTGTTAAACATGGTAAAGTGTTAAGCCGAGAATCTGTTGTGAGTAAACACTGATATGTGGCTGATTTTGATGAGCAGGGAGGGAGGAGTGCTGTGTAGAAAGCACAGACTGTGAGGTCTGCCTACAGCGTAGTCTAGCTAGATGCTGTGTCTATGAAACCTTATGCCGCAGAGAAACAACACAGTGGAGAAAGCACAGATTAGGTGCTGTACTGAAATGATTAGAGAGAGAAGAGGGATCAGAAAAGGTGGAGAGTCATGTGTTTTTCTTTCTGCTGAAGGGTCTGAAATTTTTAGCAAACCAGGTGAGGGTCCTTAATTTTTAATTCCCCAGATTTCTAAATTATTTCATCATCATATTTGGTCTTCAGTTTGTAGCCCAAAATCTATGTAACAGGATTCTATATTCTAGTTGTTAGTAAGACCAATGTCAGATATAACTTTGCACTAGTTTGTTATTTTAATTCATTTTGGCAACTGCTAATTCCACTCCTAATGTACGGTACTGAATGTGTAAGAAATTATTTTTCCATTATTTCTTACCAGGTTTGAGGTGAAATTGGCAGGAATGGTGTTTAAGTCAATGGGAACATCCAAAGCAAATATTAATAGGCTTTGGGTGCTTTTCAAAAAAAGTCAGTTCAGCCATCTGCCCCACCCCAGTCATTTTCATACAGTCCCTTAGATGTTTTAACTGCAATTTTAAAAATTAATAATGTATTCCACATAGATCTGTATTTTAAAATTAAAATACAGTACAGAAAGGGTATTAAATGTCACATTTGGCCAACAGACAACAGGACTGTCACTTTCATAAAAACATGACCAAGCCATGCCTTTGAAATGTCAATTAATAAACCATATTGGGAGCCATCTCCTGATAATGCGACTCTTGCACTCTTACTGAACATCTAAAGATGACAGCTTTGGGGTTAAACTGAAGCATTATAATGCCAAGTTTATATTTAAGGTTTAAAGATCTTATCCAAACCAATTTTTTTACATGTTCAAACACAAACTGAACTGGGCTTCAGGGCTTCTCACAGTAGAAACAGCAGCTGTTACATGTGATTCTCTCCTGACAAACATAAACTGAGCCACTTCAGCCTGGAGGAAGAAGGCTATGTGTGTGTTAGCTCACTGGTCCAATATCCCCATGCAGTGAGCCACAAATAAGGATTCTTAGCATTTCTCCATTGCTACCCAAGGCTAGGCTTAGGCCAAACACAACTGGTGCATCCCTCACATTTTACACAAGTGATGAATGTTTTGCTTGTTCATTGTGTTAAACTGAAAAGTGCGAATGTCTGTGGTAAAAACAGTGATGGAGACGGGATTGGATTGATGTTATTGGACTAGGAGTGCTTTACTGAAACAACAGGCGCTGCTTACTCTAAGTACATGTGGGACTGTATCATTAGACATCCTGGGCCAAAAGGTCAGTGGCTGACCTGTAGACATGTCACTTCACGCAGATGAAGGATGGGCTGAGCTGTCAGCTTGATGCCATCTGATGGTGGATTGGATAAGCTAGTGAGGAGGCTGCTAAACCAGAATGTCTGCTGAGTAACTTAGAGGTCATCTCTGTTTATAGTGAGACTGAGAACAGACAGGAGGGTGGTCCCCACTACCAGCTGACTGTGCAGTTCCCCTCAGCTCTACAGAGCATTTCAGCAGTATCTGGCTTATTGTTTTGGGGTTCCAACGTCAACATTTCCCATTTGCCCTATGCTTATGTTTATGCTGAAACAACAGTGGTTATGCCAGTGGGCTAACCACCTGAAGCTAAAATGGGCCAATGAGAGGTCAACAGAACAGTATAAGAAGTAAAGGTTTTAATTTATTTAATGTCTAATTAATTTATAAATTGACTGGTGATAAAGGGAAAGCATCCTCCTCCACAGAGAACTGGAGGAGGATGCTCGGATGTATAGACCTCTGTGTACCGTGTTGATCCAGATGAATGGCTAGATGATCATAACTTGACTAGTCTTATGCTAGTACAAACCATTTCCCTCAAGCTAAATCATTGAAATACAGTACATATTATCAACCGGCCAATGGGTCAATTTGGAAAATTTCAAAATATTTTAAGGAGCAAATGTTTGTACATGGAAAAAAGTGTCTCCAGGTGCAGTACCTTACAGATACTATGGATGGTTATGAATTTATGAATGGAGGAATCTCGGTGGAAAGTAAATCTTGCATACCTTTAGCTTAACCTTACAGCCTTTAGTTCATTCACAATAACTGACTCAGGCTGAATTTTGAGTCTTTAGTGTGCAGATCTTAAAGCATATCTTTAAATCATTTAAGACATGTCTATAATATTCATTCATCCATCTTCTATACCGCTCAGTCCCAAACGGGGTCACGGTGTCTATAATATTCTTACTATGAAATTCTGTGAAAATATGGGTTAAGGATTAAACAAACAGCATCAGCATTGTCTGCTATGCAGACACACAAACACATCCCCTAAGAGAAAGGAAGTCTGTTAAAATATCAGCCACTGAGCATTTTAAGATTTTTTCCTTGGACTACTAGAAAAAAAAACATATTCAAAGCTGCAAATAACAGATTACGTGTTGAATTTCATGCATCATATAAAATATTAGTTCTTTCTTTTTCGATATATTTACATATATATTACACATTCTGTACAGTAGAGATTCAATCTACACCACATTCTTAAAAATATTTTCTGACCCATAATTATTTTTACATGAAAAACAAGAATAGGGGAAAACATCCAAAACAAACACGGCTCTGGCTGCTGCAGGACATCTGTGAAGCTCCGATAGAAGCTCCACTGCATTAACTCTGCATAAAATAATCCCGTGTGGGTGACTATAGCCCACATGCACACACACTAAACACACAAGGAGAGGAACAGGGCAGGGGGGAGGCATACCAGGAACTGTGGCTCCCTGTTTTGTTGAAGAAAAGGCTTTGACCCAGGTCAAAAGCCAACTGACAGAGCCACAACCAGCCCAGTGCTGGGATCTCTGCGGCACTTTGTGCAAACAGCAAAAGATCCTTGTGAAGGGAGGGAAGCCATATCCTACCCATCCAATCACTTCTCAGCATCTGAGGCACCATCTCAGTGCTGCACTTTGAGCAGAACTCTTCTTTAGACTCCTGTTACAAAGACACCCATGCCTGGGTTTGGCTCAGTCCACTTCTGATTGGCTCTAGCCAGCTACTGTGGCTGCGTAGCAGAACGGTCAGACAAGCTATCTGCTCTGTGAGGGGCCTGTTGCTGTTGAAGTTGCTGTTTCTGCTGTTGTTGATGGTGCTGTTGTAACTGTTGCTGCTGCTGTTGGGTTGTGGCACTGAACGTACCCTGCTGCTGCTGCAAAGGGAACGCTGCCTGCAGGATCAACTGGGTGGATTGGTTTCCGTGAAGAAGCCGAGGAGCCTTAAGTGAAAAATTTGCATTAGCTGGATTTTGGTACAGAAATTAACCCATCGAGTCTTGCACAGTATGTCAAGATTTAACATAACTGCACTAGGCAGCTTTGTGGTTGAACATTTGAAATTATGACCCTTTGTATTCATTTTATGGAGTTTGTAATGACACCACCTTACACAACTCTGACTGGCCAAACAAACTCATTGTAGCTGTTGTGAACAGAGAGAACTATGATACTGAGGATACTGAGAGAAACAGACCACATTTAGACTTGGTCTTAAAATGCGTCTCGGTGATCCAAACACAACCAGACAGCTGAGACACATCACTGTTCACACCTGCATCTCCAAGGTGTCCAGCAGCCCACTGGTGTTCCCATTTCTTTACTGCTGCGACACTGCTGCCAAAAGATCAAAAGGCCATGTGCACAGTTATGTCAGTCTGTTACCAGGCAAGTGCCAGTAGTCTCACTAACCAAAGAAGGAGACAAGTATCAGATGTGTATGTGAATGTATTATGAAAGCGTTCATAATATATTATTGGATTTGTATTGCACATTTCTCCTCATTTTCTCTTTTCTTTTTAAGTGTTTGCCACCACATCCTGCATTGGATGATGTATTTCCCTCTAACGTCCTTGTTGGGAATGCATCAGGACACATTAACATTCACACTACAAAAGAAACGTGGTCAAATGTGTCCGACACCGCCTCGCCAAGTGGTTTCAGTGACTGAATCACAATCCATCTTGGTGGTCGTTTGAGCTTGTATTTGGTGCTGTCCACTTGTGATCTGATCATCCAAGACACATTTAAAACCCAAGTATAAATGGGGTGATACACACAAACATCTTGAAAAGGTAAGGCCATCTAAATTGACACTAATGCATCCATTAGAGCTAGACCAATAAACCAACCAGGCTGACAGTAGCTTACTGCAGAGGTACAGTATCGGTGTGTGCTGGCCAACAACAGGAAATTGCAGAAGAGAAATGTTAAACTGGGCTTAACTGTATTTAGAAACACTGTCAACATTACATAGTTTGTTTATCATGGAGCATGAAGAAATTGATTTTAAAAATGAAAAATGTCCCACTGTATAGTGGAAAGTAACTAAGTACATTTACTCTATTACTGTACTTGAGTATAGTTTTATGGTATCTATATTTGAGTATTTTCATTTTATGCTACTTCATACTTTGACCACTAAATAAATCACTACATGTAGTGTATTTAGTAACTTTAGTTACTAGTTGCTCTTCAGAATCAGACTGATAGAACCTATGCCACAATCGTAAGGTGATTCATGTGCATGTGAGAATAAACTGAAATTTGACTTCTTTTATTTTATTATTAAATTGTAAATGGTCACTTACAATAGCAAGCTGCCTGTACATATGCTGGTAAACATAAGCTTACTTAGTTTCCTTACAACATAGGGAATTTACTGAAATTGTTCAATTAACTATCACTGTCATTTGGAACCATAAAAGTGTAAAGCAACTGTGTTTCAATGTGAGACCCACCTGTAGGAACTGTGTGTGCTGCTGGGCCAGTGGAGCCTGCCCCGGCTGCATGGCTGTGACCTGTGACTGCAGCTGTACCTGCTGTTCTGGCTGCTGTTGTTGCTGCTGTTGTTGCTGCTGCTGCAGCGAGGGTTGCTGGGAAATGCTAAAGGTCTGGGTCTGGCCCTGCTGAGGAGCGAAGGCCGTCACCACTTGGCCCATAAACATGGTTGTGGGGACCATGACTGCCCCACATGCCATCTGTCCTGTCACTAACTTGGTGAGCAGCTGAGGGCTGGCAGGAAATCTGTAAGAGACAGGAAGTAGGCAAAGGTCCTTGCACATATGGAACTGCACTGTAGAAACACTTCACTTTAAAACATCAGATACAAGTGGTGAATGGTGGTGCAATCAGTGCAAAACTTACTACAAAATAAACTCACCTGTTTAAAAACATTAAATGTAACCATGTCAATTAACTGAGGAGTTGTTTTTAGTGAAGATGCAAACCTAATCTGAGCTGTGCGGTCCTGTGCAAATGTAGCTACAGCAGGAGTATTGGGTCCAGCATTCTGAGTCAGGCTACTGGCAATCTGGACCATGTTAGCAGGGCTTTGCTGAGGGATCATCATTGTGTTGTAGAGAGATGCAGGCAGTGGATTTTGTTGAGGCTGCAGAGTGACAGACAGCCGCTGAGACTGAAATACACAGAACTAGAGTCAGTGACAAGATAGAAAACATACTAGGTTTGATATTTTTAATGGATGTCAAGGCAAAAAGACCAACTAATGGTTTTGTCTGACCCGTGAGAGTGCTGCGCTCTGCTCCTGTAGGAGTGTTTGTTGCTGGGATTGGGCCTGGACAGTGTGTTGTTGCGGCGTGCTGTTCTGTAGAGTCCCTGCAAGGACCACCTGGCCCTGCATGCTGAGCGTTCCCCCCTGCTGCACAGCATTCCCCTGGGTCATCTGAACAGAGCTGAGATTTAGTCCTACTGTATCCCACAGCAAAAGATCCACCCAAACAGTAAATGCAATGAAAATCATAGAATCAAAGTGAGTATACTGTACTCTAGATTTCTTTGACTGTATGTACTCACATTTGCCATGCACTCTAAACAGCTCCTCAGACTCACCTGCAGGTTCTGTCCCTGCACCCTCTGCAGCTCCTCCTGGATCTGCCGTAGCTCATCCTGTTGCCGCTGGATGTTGGCCTCAATCATCTTGGTCCTCTGCTCCAGCTGCTCTTTCAGGTGCTGCATGGCTTCTAGCTGGGTGGAGAACTGTACCATTGACTGTCAAAGAACAATTGTGTGCAAACACAGCAGGAAGAGAAATAGCAGTTACTGAGGCAGTTCACTTGTGAATGCCCACATCTGGTGTGGCATGAAACTAGCTATTCATCCTAGAGACTGGGTCAGTGGTGCTTTCATGGCAGACTGAAAGCTTTTTATATAAAATGTTTAGTTGTTCTGTTTGAACTATACTACCTGTCAAAATTTTTATAACACTTCAATTTTTCCAGTTGTTATTAGTGTAAATGAACAACCGAACACACTTGTGGCGTTCTGTTTACAACTGAAATCAAACATTGTTGGGTGTTGCAGAACTTCCCACAAATATGTAGCACTTGTAGGCTGCTTTGTTTTCACTCTTCATCTGGAAACTGAACACTGTGCTGCCATTCCATCATTTGAAGCCAACTGTCTTGTTCTTTACTTCTACACAGCCTCAAGGTGTTTTTTGGCTCATTATCCTGCTATAGGATGAAACCCTGAAAAGGTCTGATTTCCTTGGCCAATGGTCTTTTCCCTAATAATCCTTCAGAGGGTGGAGGAACACAGTCTTTTCCAACACTGCCTTTGTACAGATAGAACATGTTGTTGTAACTAATTGTTATGACACTGGGTCATTATTCTTGATGTGACTTTGCATAGTGTATATGTGTGTTTGGATGATGAGCTACAAGTGCTGTTCCAGGGTTGGCCCTTTTGAACAAATCACTGCTGCCTGATTGGAAAAGCTGTTCACCTCAGTCTATTTAAACCCCAACTGACAGCAACCTGCTCTCTCCACTCAGTCACTCCCAAGCAAGCCAGCAATCTGACTGTTGTTGTTCTGTGAGGTTGTAAGCAGAGGATTGTGAGAAAAGGCAAATCATGGTGAAATACTAAGTCTGCATTAGATAAATAAACCTTTAGAGGTTTTGGTTTAGACGAATCATTGTAAATATACCACTGTACATACTGTATTCAGCACTTCTTTAGCACATGGTTACAGTGGGAAGCCCTCAGCACAATTGTTTGTTGTTTTGGGCATGGATCACCTCTGAAGTAAATAAAATTGTTACCTTAAAGTTAGAATCACCTGTGCTGTTGGCCTTTCTTAGGAGTGGAAAGGGTGGGGAAGCCATGCATGTTATGCTGAGGTTCCCCTAGACCAGGGCATAACCATAATCAAAAAAAGTTGGACATCTGTAGTGGCTGAGTTTGTTTGGCCAATCATACATTACTCAGACTACGCTACATTTTCCTTTAAGAATCACATCTTATATACTGCATAGACGGGACAATATGATCCTGTTCACACACTGTATACTTTGTGTTTACCACTTCCTCCATTATCCAACTAGGCTATAAGGCTACAGGGGGAACAACGCCATGAGAGCAACCATCCAGTTGGACACAGACCCCCCTGCCCAAGCACATTTGAGTTGCATCTGTGAGTCCTAACAAATTTTAGCACTGACCGTCATGGTATTAAAGGAATAGTTTGGGATTTTTCAAGTTGGTGTTAAAACAATATTGATGTATCCCTATGTACGTGAGAATAGGTCTAAGTCACTGCCACCTCTCCTGCTCCCCACACTGACCCTGAATGTTTCCACCCAGGACAGTGGTAAACTGCAAAAAGTGAGGGACCAATTATACAACTCTCATTTGGTAAAAACATGCACTCTAAAGTTGGGCTGTGGCTCAAATGCAGCTTCACCTGTCCCACTAAGCTAATTTGAGTCAGTATATTTAAGAGTTACAGTCTATTTAAAACAAAGCTCCCTGGACAGTACCTTGTTGAGCTGCTGCAGAGGGATATGTTATAGTAGTCGCATGTACGTTTTAACCATGTTTACTACTAGAGTTGTGCTCAGAGATAACGTGGAAATGAGTTTGTACCTTGACAGCTGGATTATTTTTGCAGTTTGTGATTTTGGGACACCTGTAAAACCTGCTCCTGTGTTTGGATTATATACTCATGTGTTTCTTCTGTTTATTCCTGCCTCATCTGCACCTTCTGTGAAGGAGAACAGGGTTCGTGTCTGCATTCATCTGGTGTGTTTTGAAGGAAACAAGCAACGGGCAACATGGGTGTAGGTGCAAATAAATACCTAACATGCTATTTATTTAGCAGCCAGATTAAAGATACTTGTGTGTAAGATAATGTTCCTAAAAAGGCTCACTCATTGACACAGGGATACATCAATACTGTTTTAGCACCAACTTGAAAAATCCAGAACTACATCTTTAATGGTGTTCCTTGTTTTTTATAATAATATATTTTATGTGTGCTCAACAAACTGAATGTTATCTGTTCCATTTGGTTAGAAATGAAGTTCTTTATTAGCACCTGGAGCAGAACTGGTAAGTGAACTGTATACTTCTCTTTAATGTCCATCCATATTTATCACAGGGGGTCAAGACAGAGTTCCGTATGTAAAACAATTTTACACAACTTGAGATTTACACAAAATGAGATTTATATTTTACTTGGCTGCTGGTCTGAACTTGTTGCTGTTGAGGCTGCTGTTGCTGGGAAACCAAGGCTGGAGCCACGTTCTGTCCTGTATTTTGGGAGCTCATCGACTGCTAATTTAAACAATACAGACACCAAACAAAACAAAAAAAAAAAGAAGGAAAATCATGATAAGGAGCAGAAAGAGAATAGAACGTTCAGAGAACCTCAGATCTCTCTGATCCTAATTAAATCCCTCATGACCCAAGACACAATTATTCAGACATTTTACAGCAGACTGTTCTTGTCCCTTTACTGACCTGACTGCTAATAGATGATCTTCGTTGTGATGTCACCTCCACAGCAGAGACAGACTGGCGACCTGGCGCATTCCTGTCTCCCTGAACCTTCATCTGTGATGCTGTGATGATGGGTTAAAAATGGAACAGTTTTAGCCAAGAAGATAACATGTAGTGGTGTCACATTGCTTGACAATGAACAGCTTTTTGTTGAAATTGCTTACAGGCTGGGTCAGACCCAGCAGTGTGTGAGGATTTGCGTGAGCTGCGCGATGAGGCCGAGGGTGTCCGGCTGTGGTCGAAGCGCTCTAAAGCCTCCTTCAGGCTGGTAGTGTTGAGCTGGGACTCAGAGCCTGAATCCTGGGACTGCTGTGAGGTAAGGTACAGTCACTACTCAACTCAACTCAACTCAACTTTATTTATATAGCGCTTTACCACAGCACAGCTGACCAAAGCACTTAACATATCATACAAATATAAAATCAACACATAAAAAGCTATAAACAATAGTATAAACACTAACACCACGGACAGAGTGTCATTCCTGATCAAACGCCAGTGAATAAAAATAGGTCTTCAAATAAGACTTAAAAGTGGGCAGTGAGGGGGCCTGCCTAATATAAAGCGGCAAGGCATTCCATAGGTTTGGACCTATCACAGCAAAGGCTCTGTCCCCCCCAGTTTTACGCCTAGCCCTTGGTGCCTCCAGAAGAAGCTGATCTGCTGATCTGAGGCACCGCGATGGATTATACGGATGCAAAAGTTCCACCAGATAAGAAGGTGCCAGCCCATTTAAAGATTTATAAACAAATAAAAGAATCTTAAAACGAACCCTAAAATGCACCGGAAGCCAGTGGAGAGATGCCAGTACGGGCGTTATGTGATCCTTCTTACGCCCCCCAACCAATAGCCGAGCGGCAGCGTTCTGGACCCTCTGGAGGCGGGCAAGCCCCGATTGACCAACTCCAGCGTACAGTGCATTACAGTAATCCATGCGTGATGTAACAAACGCATGGATCACTGTCTCCAAATGCTGCCTCGACAAAAAGGGCTTTAATTTCACAAGCTGCCTTAAATAAAAAAAACCAGATTTTACAACAGCATTTATCTGGCTCTCCATTCGCAGATCCGAGTCTATTCTAAAACCTAAATCATTGACAACGGATCGCACATACTGCCCCAAAAAGCCTAGGTCTACCGGAGGAGGGTCGCCAGACATATTCCGGCCAAATACTATAACCTCCGTTTTTGCATCATTTAGCTTCAGGCAATTTAACGACATCCAGGCCTTAATATCTGCAAGACATGCTAAAAGCGGTTGGATCGAGTAAGTGTCCTTTTTAGTCAGTGGCATGATAATCTGGACATCATCAGCATAACAGTGAAAAGAGACCCCATGTTTCCTAAAGATAGAGCCAAGGGGAAGTAAATACAGAGAAAACAGCAAAGGCCCCAAAATGGAGCCCTGTGGGACCCCAGATAACAAAGGGGTTGTGACAGTGACTACAGTCACTATCAGTGTATTAAGGGCTCATAACTGGTTCTGGGTGTCCTTAGAAAGAATTGGCAAAAAGTCTATGTTGTGTTGGACAAACATCTCACCTTGTCTGCTGAGACCTCAGGTTGTGATTCCTCAATTCCAAGCTCTCTGCGTTGTTCTGCTCTTACTTCAGCATAACTGTATAGCATATAAAATACATATATATATATATAGTTGTATAGAATATTCTAATTAAAGTGAAAGATATTTTCACGGCTCCCACGTAGCATATATTCTCTCTACATTACATTGTGTTCTTGTATTTTTATTGTGCTTCTTTCAATTGTTGCTTTAAAGTGCCTTAGATTTGTGTTATAGCTCATCTACTTTATATTTCACTTGTATTTTGTGGCATTCATGTGGACAGCAAAGTAAGAATTTCATTGTACAGGGAAACATGTTTCCTAACTCTGCATATGACAAACACTTTGACCTTTGATCTGTCTGATGCATTTTTCTATTTTTGTGTCTAAATATAAGGGGGTGACTTTGCAACACACCTTACAACAGTGTGTGTGCAGACAATAAACTCTGGTCTGGAGTTCCACTGGTGGTAGGTGATGTAGTAGTGGGTCTGAAGCCAAATCCACTGCTGCCCTTTGGTGAGGAATCTGTAGTAGCAGGACTTTCCTTTGCCATACTGCATCACTACAGACACACAAAGAGAAGATTGATATTTACAGCTTCAAAATCAGCAGCAGATGACAACTGCAGATCAAGTCACTTTAATATTGTGAGGTGACAGAGCTGTACTCACAATGTTCGTGGCATTTGGCCAGTGTTTCCAGGTCATCCACATGGTAATAGTCATAACCCGATGTACCTAGGACCTCAAATGGGAGGTAACCTATGATGGGTGGAGCTCTGGACAAACAGTAAATGTCACTGAGATCTGGAACATCTCTGTAAACTTTCTTCTCCTCTTTTAAGTACAACAAGAGTCATATCAATGCATTACCATTTAGACAAATTTTCATAAAGTGTCTCTTGCAGACAAAACAAGTGCAAATCATATGCAAACAATAAGCTTGTTAGCACATATTTTGATCCCACTGATCCCAACCACGATACCATAATGACTTGTCAAGCACTCTGGTTCACAAATGAACCATCCACTAGTCATGCAGTACATCTTTACTGGCTGCTTGTCAAAGGTAAAAAGTATGTTGTCAGTAATTTGGTTCATTTGATCCAACAAAAAGGGGAAACGATCCACTGTTGCCTTTTAGTTCTGGTCTGGTTCGTCTTCACACCGGTTTATTACAAACAAGCCAACAGAGGTAAACATGAAGTTGTATAGACTGAAGGCAACTTGTTAATTAGACAGTTTTGTATTACATCATTTGTATTAAATGCCGTATTACATTATCAGCACTATGTGGAGATGTGTGGATATCAAATTCTAGTGATTGAGAGCAAGTTGTTCTGACCTACAAGTTTATTTGTGGTCTCTAGAATCACAAAACACTCATGAAGAAATAACCTTTCACTAGTTTCACTAATGTTTTAGTGCTACAATCCACTGAGTAGGACACAAGCTCAACATACTTGTGATTAACTCTTTTTCACTTTTAGATATATCAGGGAAAATCGCATGGTGATATGCATGTGTTACCTTTGTTACTAGGGATGTAACGATATTTGCAGTTTCACAAAACTGCGATGGAAAAATGTCTCAACACTATTGTGGGACTATGACGGCATCTGTCTGAGTATTACCTATGGTTATTTCATTATTATTTATTAAAGGGCATTTTTTTCCATCTTATTTCTTCATCTTTTAATATTGTGATCAATATTGGACCTTGAGTTTTTGGTATGATTACTTCCCAAATGTTACACAACTATCCCATGCAAGTATGGGCAGGGCATTGCCTATACAAATTGGAAGATTTAAAATCATCAGATGGATTTATCAGTAGTTTAGCTGTTAGATTTATGGTAAAACACATAACTGGTCTCACATAGTCCTGTGGTACAGTACCAGTCAAAGGTTTCGGGACACCTCAATTTTTCCACTTTGTATTTTGACATTTAAGCAGCAGAAGTCCATTCAATAAATTTAAATGATTCCAGGCAAAGAGTGAACTGCCAGAGGTAAAATAAACAAGAAGAGCAATCTAAAGCTAAAAATGTGAGTAATTTCATGTAAAACAGGCCTTTTTTTAGGGATCAAGTTATAGGTTAACTTACATCTTTTCTTCAGCAGTGGAAGTAAATCAAGCCCTGAAAATTGATGCAATTCCTATAGGTGACCCAAAGGCAGTGCCAAAGCAGTGGTAGAAAAGACTGTTACTACAATGAACAAGACGGTAGACTTCAAATGATGGAAATGCAGCACAGTGTCCAGATTTCCAGATGAAAAGTGAAAGCAAAGCAACCTACTGTACAAGTGCAACATTCTTGTGGGAACTTCTACAACAGTGCTCTCTATCCCAACAATATTTTGATTTGTTGTATAAAGAATGTCACAAGTGTGTGGCAACTGTGTTTTGAATTATGTATATATACACACACACACACAGGAAAAATTGAGGGGACCCCAAACTTTGAACAGTGGTGTAGGTCAATTTTGCTTTTACACCACTAATGAACTACACCAGAGTCAAATGAAAGTGGACCAATTTTCTCTTTTTCAGGTGGTTTCAGTCCATTTGTTGGTCTGCGCTACAGTTTGACTGAATCTGAACTGAACTAAACAGAGTAGGTAGAAAACACCTTTAATAAATGATCCTTTGGTAATGCATTACTATAGAATACATAAACACAAACAGCAATGCAAATGATATCTTTATGCAATGGGGGAAAAAAAACAACAATGAAATGATTTTTCTTTTGAAAGGCTGCTGACAAATATAAAAACACTGATCCATACCTGTGATCCAAAAAGAGAAACTTCCACTCTAAACTATGCCTGGAGGTGAATTCCTCATTTGGCTCTTCGACAGTGCACATCTCCTGCAAGAACATTGGGATGGAAGATTAGAATGTAGACATTTTCTACATTTATTAAAAAAAAAAAAAAAAAAACACATGTAAATGATCTGAGCCATTGATGATCTGAACCTCCAGGAAATAAGGTGAGTCTCAAGAGCATTCAATTTCTCTTAAAAGGTTATTGTCCATTTTACACCTGTTGTGTTGTACCACAGGTTTTTGAACTGTGTATCCTTCATTACTTTGCCTTACTATTTGAAAATATGTCGCTTTCATTCACTTAGCTTTAATACCACCGTTTTATATGTTATTCCAAGATACTGATGAGGTATCATATCAGTTTTATTCCAAACTCGGTTTAAAGTAAAACATTTACACAGTGGATAACAGACAAAAACAAAAAGTTGGCAAATGGGAGACTACACATAAAGTGTTGTTTTCCTGGGGTGACTGGGCGACAGGATAACAGGAGAAGTGAGAAGCGGAAGACCTGCTAATGCTTCTTACCTTGATAAACTGTGGTTTGGCTAGCCTCACAGTTGCAATGAGACACACTGAGTGAAGCGATCGCTGGATCACTCCTTCAAAACCATTTCGGGTACCATTAGGCACTGGAGAGTAATGGAACAAAAGAAACGTTTTGCTCAAGGAAACACACCTGAAAAATTAAACACTGTGCATAGTGAAACTTACCATTATTAAGGGACTTGAACTTTCCAATGAACTTGACATATTCATATACAGGGGGATCTTTGGGGTCAACAGTTCCTCGGAGCATGTGGCAACAGAACTCCAGCTGATTTTTTGCTAAAAATAAAAAAATAACAATGTTAAAAATTTTTACTCACACTTGATGACTAAATATTCAGGTTAAGTAACACGGTAACAAAAATAAGACACATGGAAATGCCAAAATACAAAAAAAGGGTCCACTTACTTTTCAGATATTCAGGTGTCAGTGTTTCTTCCTCCATAATATGAGAAGACA